AAAATTGACACTTAAGACTGGTTTTATGGTCCAGGGTCACATATCTTTTTTTTTTTTTATTCCATTGCTGCAAAAGCTGTCAGTTTAGTTTTTGCAAGCTTATTTTCTGCCCTCTCTCTAACTCTGAGAATTCAATTTGAAGTGGCATTAAAACATCCAGTTTATGACTTTATGTAAATGAACCCTGCTATGATTGGGTAACTGCTTTGCATGTGAAATGAGCTGCAACACTGAACCATCTAAATATTTATAGATGGGTTATTTTAGTATCATTGAGATACTATTACTGGTTTATTAATATTTCAAATGAGTTTTTATTTTTAGATTCTGTTTTTAATTTAAAGCTGAAGTAATTTTTTTTATGCATGTATTTATTTGGCGAATGGCCACAGCTGAAACGTAAAGGTGCACCTCTTTTTGTTAGTTTAATTATTATATTCTATTGCATATTACATATATTACATATATTTGTCTTCTGAGCTTTTTAATGCCCCAGTTTTAAGAGTATATTACTGGTCTAAGTTTGTTTTACCATCATATTTGTGAGGATATTGAATGCGTTTGCTTCTCGACAGCCTCTTTCTCTGGATCAGGACAGCTCTGTGTTTAGAGATCAACAGCTCACTCTGGAGCTCAAAGTTACATTTTTGTGAGTCACACATACTGTACGCGCACAGACCATAGATCTCAAACACAATAGTTTAATAAACCTTAAATCACTCAAACAATACTTCATTAAGATTTTAAGGATATACCAACATCTCATCTAATGTAGCTGTTTTGATTATAATAACATCAGCTAACAACAATGCCCAATGCCTGTTTCTTTAGACATTTTATTTTATTTCTAGCAACTTTTTTTTTTAATGGTTCTAGTTTTAGTTACCTGTAACAGCCCTGGTGCTCAGATATGTTGACAGGTTTGTTTGTGTGCAGGCTGGACATTGCGTTTGCAGGAAGAACGATAGGAATCATTGCAAAGTCGAGCAAGACTTTGGGCGATGCACTTTCCACTGTCCTACAGAAACACCAACTGCGACCTCAGGATGTGCAGGCTACTCTGGTGTGTAAACGCTTTATCCCACATGTCAAAAACTGATGTGAGACACGGTGAACAATGGGAGTTTTGTGAACATACAGAGTATATGAAATTGCTTGTTTTTTTCCCCCCCTTCATTCCAGAGTGGCTCAAATGAACCTCTAAACATGAGCACAAACGTGTTTCGTCTAGCCAGCAAAACAGTGTGTTTGGACAAAGTTAAAGGTGCGTTATCAGTTTATTTTAAATTGATAAATTGTTTTGGAGAGAAATTCAAAATTAGCCACAATTTATATCGATCTACAAAACAAATGCATTTAGTAATATAATTACACTTAAATAGAAATATTATTTTTTTAAATAAAATAAATAAAAACCATACATCTTATTTAAATTTATATAATTTATTTATTTAAAATTATTTAAATAATTGACTCATTTTATTTAAATAATTATATATTTACACTTATTTATCAATTTAGTTTGTATATTTGTGTATGTGCATTACTAGGCAAAAGTTTAGACCCAGTACATTTTATTATCTTGAATATCTTTTGATCTGCTCAAATGGTTCAAAATAAATGTATTCTGTAGACTGACATAAATAGTCTAATTTTGAAAAACTCTACAAAACTAAAATTGAAGTGAAAAAA